TCTTTATTAAAAAATTCAAGGCCAATGTCACTTCTAGTGCATTTTGGAGTACAATTGTATTGAGTTTCTATCATTGTAATAAAATGTTTAATGGTAATGAAAACTTCAGATTTGTATTGCATGAGAAATAACCAAGTTACTCTTGAATAATCATCAACCAAAGTAAGGAAATACCTAGCATTTCCATGTGTTGGAATTCTATATGGACCCCAAACATCTACATGTAACAAATCAAAGATGCAAGTAGAAATTGAATTACTATGATGGAAGGGAACCTTGGTTTGCTTAGCTAATGGACAAATAGTGCAGTGAGGAGGATTAGAAACATCAAAATCTTTATGCATATGCTGTAATATTGTATAAGGAACATGTCGTAACCTTTTGTGCCACAATTTAGCACTATTAGAAACATTTGCAGCAAGAAAAGTAACAGGAAATTGAGAGTCTCTATTCAACTGAAAATGACATGGTACATTATTATTTGAACAAAGACCTTTCGAAATATTGCAAACAACTTTATGCGAAGCATCTACTGACATTATTGATTTTTGTGAGATTGGATCAAGGAAATATAGGCCTTGTTTATGCTTACCAATCCCCTTGAATTTGCCACTGTAAAGGTCCTGGATTAGACAGAAATCAAGGTAAAAATTGATAGTACAATTATTAGAAATGGAAATTTGAAGACTGAAAGCAAATTGTGTCTAAAAGTTGGTATATGCAAAACTTTTGAGAGATGCATGCCATTGTCCAAAATTGCATAACCTACATGTGCAATATGAGTCTTAGTACCATCAAGTAACCCTACAATGGATTTTGAAGAAGGTTTTACGGCAATAGAAGACTGCAGAATACTAAGGTCATAGGTCATGTGATTAGTGGCCCCTATATCTATGATCCAAGCATTTTTATTTAAATTAGGCAATGTAATATCATGTGTACTATTAAAGATACCTGCAAGGTTTGCAACTGAATGATTTGTGGAGGTTACATTCTCTTTTCCTAGCAGCTCTAGAATTTGATTATATTGCTCCAATGTGAAAACATGTCCAACTGGAATATTAAGAGACTTTGCATCTGTCATTGCTGCAACTATATCCTATGATTGCACAAGATTTGCAGAGTATTTGGATTTTGAGTTCCCCTTTCCTTTTGTAAACTGGTAATTTGCTGGATAACCATTCAGCTTGTAACAATTGTCATGTTTGTGACCAGGTAGGTGACAATAATCACATTCAATATAAGGTTTCTTTCCCTTATATCTCTGCCCTAGATTCTATTTTTTACCATTCTGAGAATAAAGTGTTGTAGTTACATCTGCATTAGTATTCAATCCAGCTAGAATCCTTTGGCTCTCATCTTGATTCAGTATGGAATATGCTTGTTTCACACTCGGCAGGGGATTCATCAATAGAATTTGGCTTCTGACCATTGAGTACAACTCATTCAAACCCATCAAAAATTCTAATAACTTTTGTTGATTAAGGTGTTTAAGATATGCCTTTGTAGAAGCACTATCTGGAGTTGGAAGGCTTACCAAAGAATCCAATTCGTCCCATAACGACTTAAGCTTGTTAAAATAAATTGGCACAGTGTTGGTTCCTTGTGTAAGATTAACAATTTCTCTATGGATACCAAAAGCCCTAGTGCCATTCACTTTGTGATATTGCTCTTTCAGATCCTACCAGACTTGTGAAGCATTGGTTGAATACACAATCCCGTTGAATATTTCTTTGGAGACTGAATTAAAAATCTAGGCAAGAACCAAGGAGTTACACCTTTCCCACTGTGGAGCTAAACGAGCATGTACTGAAGATTTTGTGTGTAAGTTCCAGTAACAAAACCTAGCTTGTTTTTGGCACATAAGGAAACAGTCCTAGCTCTGCTCCAAATACATTAATTTTTTGCTCCTATTAGTTGTTCTGACACTAACACTGACCCTGGTGTATCAGATGGATGAAAATAGAGGGGCGAATTTGAGTTAATCGAAGGTAGAACTGATTCTTCTACCATAGCTGACTGAGCTCAGCTTCCAAAGTCTACAGCTCAAGCTGAACAAATTAACGAGTCTTGAGCCTTTTTCGAGCTAAACCAGCAGAATATGGAGGTTCAATCGAACCAATTTCTAGAAAATTTGCAAGAAATCTCCCACTTTGATACCATGTTGAGGAGAGAAAATTGGGGAAACATCTGTGTATTTCATCGGTCAACAAATACAATTTGTACACTGCTTTTATACTTGCAAACTAACTCAATAAACTACTAATTGCAGTTAACTAACTCTAGTTAATAACTAAGCAAACTTGTAACTAACTCTCTTAACAATAACAGTAACTAACTTTACAGTTTAAACAAACTAACTAAACTGTACAGTACTTAATAAATCAGCTACTATTAACATACAAAATTCAATTTTAGAATTAAGAAGAAATTAAAACTCAAAAAAAATGAAAATAAAATTCATATTTTTCTCTTTGAATAATAATAACCTATTTATTCTCCAATGTAAATCTAAATCTAAATAATCCAAACTAGCATATTTGCGTGGACATAATAGCAGTTCAAGGTGTAAACATCTACAATTAATCTAAAAAATCCACGAATAAATATGTATGAAATCATATATTCTCCAATGTGGTAATACCTTGCGTTGTTACGAGATTCTTGTACAATCTGTCTTCCCAAATGTGTGCATCATTCCAAACAAAGAGGGACCACCAAAGTAGGATTTATAACAAAAAAAAAGGGTAAGTTAGTTTAACAATTTATTATATATATATTGTTAGAGATGGTGAATGGGTCGAGTATGTTGGTATGATACGATCATATAAAATTACATGGCTGAATATAATTTGTATCAACTAATGTAATTCTTTAAGAAGATTGAAGTTTTAATCTTTGGTGGCGTCTTTGCGAGTTAATTTGGATGATGGCAATGATTTTGTGTTCATTAGGGATGGGCATTTTCCCAGTCCTATCGAGAACCCTACTTGACCAGATCTAATCCATAAAAAAAAGCTCATCCAATTCTTAATAAATTAAGATTTTATTAGTTCATTTATAAATAAAAAATAACTTGATGCATCAATATGACGAAACCTCTATAAAAGGCGGCTAAAATCTAGGCTCGATCACACTGTTTTTTCATCGCCATTTTCTCTCAATTTTATCGCTTATCAAATAAACATGGCTCAAAAGCTCTTTGTCGGCGGCAACTGGAAGTGCGTAAGTCTCTTTGTTTACTTTACTCATTCAAATTTTTATTGATCGATTTCATGAGATCCAATCAGTGATTTAGAGTCTTGGATTCTAGTAGTAGTATGAAATTGTCTTTGCAAAAGTAAAGTAATGACTTTGTTTAATAATTTGGTATCAGAATGGAACAACTGACGAAGTGAAGAAGATTGTTACGAACTTACGACCTTGAATGAAATTGAAGTTCCTTTAGAGGATGTTGTTGGTAGGATTTTCCCTGCAAAACCCCCAAAGTCCCAAACTCAAGGCGGGGATGATAGTAACCACATCCCTGCGGGCCAGGCCTGGGGATTTCCTGACATCCCATCCTAGGATTGGGCTGGGCTCAGGGAATCTCCTTGGGCTCACGAGCCGAGCCTCGAGATAGGGGTTCTCAACCTGTGCCCATCACTCATATTGTCTAGGTTTGAAAAACATTTTTTTTTAAATTGATTTTTTCTTTTTTTTACTCTTGAACTTGATTTTTTTCCTTCTCCTAACGTATTTTTTTTTTTTTATTATTCTCTTTACTTATTAAAAGAAAAAAAAAACTGATTTTTTTCCTTTTTAAAACGATATTCGGGAGTAAAGTTCATAGGGCCCCTGATCTTGTAAAATGAATGTTGATTCCTTAACGGCACACTAAAGCCTGGGGGAATTTGTCAATTTCGATACCTGAGGGGGAACTTAGTTATTCAGTTTCTATTATTCAGATGGTTACCCCCACCAGTTTTAAAACCGCATCTGTTATATTGGTGTTGGAATCAGAGGGATAAAATAGTAACTTTATTCATTATGCCCATCCTTTTACTCTATCGAATCTCCCCTCTCATTCGCGGGGAACCCCACCCCTCAACCCACGCCACCGTTTCCATTCCGCCACCCACAGCCACGTTGCAGCCACCAACACAACCCACCCTCCTCGATTCAGCATCTCATTTCGCCACCTACAGCCATGGTACAACCATCAATCGACCACCCATCCACACTCTCACCCATTAAATCTAAAGGACTACAGAAACTTGCGGGGTTTTCCAAGAATAATCTCTGGATGGAGATCCATTAGAGTTCTTATGCTCCTTGGCTGCTCAAATATTGACAAATCGACAGAAAACTTGAGAAAATTTTCATGTTCGGAGTTAGGATGTTAAGAGTGAGTTATTTATAATTTTTGTTTCTTGTTTTTCCACACTTATGTGGATTAATCGAAGGCATGGGTGTGGTGGGTTACTTTGTGTGCAGTGCTGTTTTCTTTTTCTGGATACGTTGGTAATGTCTCTGCTCTGGTTGTGATTTTTGGTAGGGTGGGATGGGAATCTTTTTTCTAATTTTTATTTTATATATTAAAGATTTATTCTGACGTAACGGAGTTAAGGTAAAACCCTTGGGTGCCTTTGTTAGTCCAGGTTTTACATGCGGATTAAACCTGAACCGGCCTGGAAAACTTAGTTACTCCGAGGGGCCAGGATACTAAGAAAAAAAATACCCTCTAAAGAAAATTAAATTTAGAGAAGCAACCGAATAGACTCGCGGGTCGCCGCCAAAACTTGAGTATTTTTCAAACGCTTGCTCTTTAGTTGTTTCACTTCACTACAGCCGGTAATCCTTTATCATTTACATATTGTAATTTATTGTATTTGTATGTTGTTATCAAAGCTTCACTGAATGAGAAGCGTTAATGCTTTAAAATTAGATTTCCTCGTTTATTCTTTCTCATTACTTTAAAGTCTCTCTTCCAATTCTTTTTCTCCGTTTTTCCTATCTGNAAAATTGACAAATCGACAGAAAACTTGAGAAAATTTTCATGTTTGGAGTTAGGATGTTAAGAGTGAGTTTTTTATTATTTTTGTTTCTTGTTTTTCCTTACTTATGTGGATTAATCGAAGGCATGGGTGTGGTGGGTTACTTTGTGTGCAGTGCTGTTTTCTTTTTCTGGATACGTTGGTAATGTCTCTGCTCTGGTTGTGATTTTTGGTAGGGTGGGATGGGAATCTTTTTTCTAATTTTTATTTTATATATTAAAGATTTATTCTGACGTAACGGAGTTAAGGTAAAACCCTTGGGTGCCTTTGTTAGTCCAGGTTTTACATGCGGATTAAACCTGAACCGGCCTGGAAAACTTAGTTACTCCCAGGGGCCAGGATACTAGAAAAAACCAATACCCTCTAAAGAAAATTAAATTTAGAGAAGCAACCGAATAGACTCGCGGGTCGCCGCCAAAACTTGAGTATTTTTCAAACGCTTGCTCTTTAGTTGTTTCACTTCACTACAGCCGGTAATCCTTTATCATTTACATATTGTAATTTATTGTATTTGTATGTTGTTATCAAAGCTTCACTGAATGAGAAGCGTTAATGCTTTAAAATTAGATTTCCTCGTTTATTCTTTCTCATTACTTTAAAGTCTCTCTTCCAATTCTTTTTCTCCGTTTTTCCTATCTGTAATTTAATATATTGTTTAGCTTTTGTAGTATCACTCCAGTTCTGTTCAGTCCAAAACTGTGTTTGTATTTAATTCTTAATTCATATATTGTCACTGAAACAATAAGAAGCCTAGTTACCCTTGTGGCCCACAATTAGTTATGAAACTTGTTTTATTTTGTTGAATTATGAGATGTTCCTCTGACTCTATATATCTAATGGCTTCTGCAGCTAGTAATGCATTGGTTTTCTTGTTTAAGTGTACTGCGCTTTCCTGAGAATAGGAAGTTTTGCTTAGAATTTTGACGTGTTATCATGTCACATATATGCTGTATGCCATGTAAATAATTCAATTTTAGTTGCAACTGTCCTTGCTCATATATTTCTTCTTACTGATGGTTTCCTTTCTATATCTTTTAGGAAATTAAGAATATTTTTTTCATGTAAAGTAGCAACTGGCAACCTCATCAAAATACCTGACTGTTAAAAAGCCCATCACATGCACTAGCATCACTGTTAGATCATCAATCAATCAATGGAGGGTAGAGAGACCCTTCAGTTGACATGCAACACTTGTGGCAATGTAGGCTTTGCGGATGGATTGGATGGCTACTATTACTGCCAGAATTGTGGGGCCCAGGCTGAGGACATCATAGAAACTGGTGTTGCAGATGAGGACTTCATGGCTACCGGTGCTGGCACGGGTACTGCCCTTTACCAGACTAGCCACACCCGCCATGGTGCCAAATCTCGGCCAGTGACTCAATTTGTCCCCCTCTCACAACAGTCAACTTTCTGGTCCCCGCTGTTTGAAGAACCAAAATCCACCACAAATGACGATAACAATACTCCTGGTCCTCAGAATATTTATAAAGTTAAGAGAGAAGAGGTGTATTATGAGGATGGTGTTGGACCCACGGAGCCTGAGGATTTCGGTTTGGGTTCAGATCTAGGAGAGAGTCAGGCAGGGTATGAGGATTATCATTTTGAAGTGAGGATGAAGTATGTCATGGGGGTGCAGTTGATGATTCAGTTACAATGTGAGGCTTTGGTGGAAAAGTTTACTCTTTCTCCTTTGATTTGCGGGGTGGCTGGGTCAATATGGTTGAGGTTTCTTGCATCAACGGGAGTTCTCCATGAAGACTGGGCTGATATTGCGATTAATGAATCTGAGAGTCAAAAACAAGGTATAACACTTTTCCATAGCTTATTTATATTCCGCGAGTTCTAATGCCTTCTTTGTTGTTGTTGTTGTTGTTTTTCTCCATTTTGTTGTCTTCATCATGACTTATGAAGGTTGATCAGGAAAGCTACTAAAGATTTCTTTGATCTATGATTTGTTTGATAGGGAAAAAATAGGAATTTGAAAAATGTACAAGATAAAATAACAGGGAAACGTATAACATTTTTGAAAATATTTAATACATAAGGTCGTGATTGGTGAAATTTATTTTGTAAATTATTCTTTATTTTCGTAAAATCACACACACACACTCACACACATATAATGATTTTTATCACCTCTCTCTAATCATTGATGTACAAAGAAGTTCATTTCTTTTCATCTCTCTTGACGTTATCAATCAAATGAATGAGAAGAATGATGAGTACTTGGTCCTTGTATTTCTTTTTCCTTTCCATCCCCTTTAGCCCTCTCTCATTCTTCATTTGCTCTTAGCATGTTGTCAAAGATGACAAGATTGATATATTTTGAGATTTTATAGTTCACAGTCTTACATGTGATTCATTATATATGTTAACTTCTTTTAAGACTTCATAGTTCACTGTCTTACATATGATTTACTGTATATGTTTAGATACTAAGATGATGGCTTTTCTTCTATTTTAATTTTCTTGATCATTACACATGTTTTGCCACTGATTCAGGAGAATCTGAAGATTTTAAACTTCGTGCGAAATATAGACAAGAGCCTCACAACTTACATGGTCAGAGAGCAGTAATGATATGGTATAGGTTGTTGAGACGGAAGATACCATTATCTTGCTCTTTAGCTGTATCTTTTTTAGCTTGTCATGTTGCAAGGGAAACAGTTTTGCCAACAGACATAGTGAAGTGGTCAATTGAAGGAAAACTTCCATATTTTGCTGCTTTTGTTGAAATCGAAAAACGATATGGGCAGCCTTCAGTTGCCTGTTCTATAAGTACTAGTCATATGTTTAGACCTTCTAAAGCTGTTGCTGTACAAAAGTTGGAATCATTGGCTGCATCCATTGCTGAGTCTATAGGTTTACATTTACCTCCAATAAACTTCTATGCCATTGCCTCCCGCTATCTCAAAAAGTTATCTCTTCCTGTAGAGAAGATTCTTCCTCATGCGTTAAGAATACAGGAGTGGTCAATGCCTCCAGATTTGTGGTTATCAACAAATGAGTTGAGGCTTCCTACTCGTGTTTGTGTAATGTCAATACTGATTGTAGCTATCAGAATTCTCTATAATATAAATGGTTTTGGGGCATGGGAAAGGAGCCTGTCCAGTCGTAATGTTTCCTGTTCAGCATCTATCCCTGGAGAAAAAATGGATCCTGAGTGTCATTTCCAAAGGAGAGATGTTGAAGACAATTCAGTTTCTTCATCCAACACCTTTGATGATTCCGGTGCACAATCTAGTAAGAGTCCATCACAGTTTAAGGAACCTGGATTGGATGCCGAAGAGCTTCTCTATAATCTGGAAGCTAGATATAATGATATCATTGACACCTATGGTATTGCTTTTGAAATAGTTTTAATTGAACATATGAAATTCTGGTTGTTGCCTTCTAAAATTTAATATATGATGCTCTAAATTTTTCTTTCTTTTATTTGATAATTGTAAGAACAAGCAGGAAGAGTTGGTAACTATTTTTCCTTGTATGAGCAGAATATTCCAAGGACTTGCCAACATATCTGCAATATTGCAAGGATGTTGTCTTTGCTGGACTAGAACCACCGCATGATGATCATGAGGAAACAAGGATGATTGAGCAATTTTGGAATTTCTATCAGGATGAAATGGTTAGTTATAGCTTAATGCTGTTATCAACTATGACTTCACAGATGTATGTTGATGAATTAAATATTGTGTCATCTTGGAGTATTTTAATCACAGGGTTAGTCACATCTGCATGGGTAAGATGAGAAAATCTTTCTGGTGTACATTTGGCTAAATGTTTAATCTACTGCACATTTTTTTCCCAAGTTAGAAATAGGCTTCTTTTGCCTCACGACTTTTCCTTTTCAAGTGTATGCAGCTCTCTGAAACATAATCTGATTTTGAAATTTCTCCAGAACTTAAGAACAAGTGTATCTGAAAAAACTCTTGGAAACTGTTTATTCAAATATGTTAGAACTGATGATGAAAGAATAATGTTCAAACACATTATTGGTGATTTGCTTCTTGACAGCGTACTTAGTTAGAAACTTGGAGTATCATTTAAGATAAGTTTCCTATATTTTTTAAATTTGAATTTTCACATAAAATTAACAAATATCTAAGTACTTGAATTGAAAAATTATGGCTGGGATCATTGAAATCATAGCAGAAGCCCATACATTATGGCTGCCCTGGCTTTGCAAAAGTTTGAGCTGCATCAAACATTGTTATCTTTTTATTACTTTGTGCTGCCTTTCATACATTGACCCCTTTTCTTCTATTGGAGGATATGTTGCATTCCATGTTATATTGATGTTTCAATTGAATCTAGAAGTAATATGGTTTTTGTTCTTTCATTATCCCATGCCTATCATGTTTGGAATATCCTGTGGGCTCATGTCTTGGCGTCTTGGGAAGGGGATGGGAATGTGAATGTGAATGATTTCAGCTAGTATAACATTTGGAGTTCTCAAGTTGTGAACTAAAACCATCAAATGTGTGTGCAAACTTGTAAAATTTTTTGTTGATTTCAGGAATCTCAGCCAGCAGAAGACATTGGAATGAGATTTGATATTGTTATTAACCAAAAGAGACCAAGGGATGATAGATCTCTCAACATTCACTTTAAGGAAAACAAAAAAACCAGAGACAAAGGATGTAACGGTACACCAGCTGCTCATTATGGAACCTTTCTTGGAGATGATAATTCACAGAAGGATTTAACAGATGATAACTCTTTGCAAAGTTCAAAAGGAGATCCAAATTCAGAATCCAATGATAAAGCTTCAGTAGAGACTCTAAAAGAAAGAGCCATAAGACGGTTGAAATTAGATATGGAAGAGAAAAGGTTTTGTTATATTCCACCAAGGGTCAAACTCAAGAGACTCGATTACCTTTACTATGTGAGGAAGAAGGATGAAGGTGCCTTTACATATGCTGCACATGCAGATTATTACATATTGCTTCGTGCTTGTGCAAGGGTTGCCCAGGTTGACATTCGAATTATGCATTTCGGAGTCTTGAGTTTTGAGAGGAGACTAGCTTGGCTGGAAAATAGAATCGATCACTGCTTGCATTTGTGCCCTCCTAGTGTTACTTGTGAGTTTTGTGGTGATGTAGTAGAAGTTACTGCAGATGACCCCAATTGTAATATAGTAGATGTTCCAATTGAATTATCAACTTTGAATAAATGACATGAGTAAGTTATATTTATAATGAGCTTATATTTTATTATTGTTTTACTTGGACTCTTTTTCTTTCTTCAAAAGAATTAATTTGAGTGATGATAAGCATGAGACTTGCGAGGTATGTGAATCACTTAGATTGAGTTTGGATGCAGCTANAGTGTATGCAGCTCTCTGAAACATAATCTGATTTTGAAATTTCTCCAGAACTTAAGAACAAGTGTATCTGAAAAAACTCTTGGAAACTGTTTATTCAAATATGTTAGAACTGATGATGAAAGAATAATGTTCAAACACATTATTGGTGATTTGCTTCTTGACAGCGTACTTAGTTAGAAACTTGGAGTATCATTTAAGATAAGTTTCCTATATTTTTTAAATTTGAATTTTCACATAAAATTAACAAATATCTAAGTACTTGAATTGAAAAATTATGGCTGGGATCATTGAAATCATAGCAGAAGCCCATACATTATGGCTGCCCTGGCTTTGCAAAAGTTTGAGCTGCATCAAACATTGTTATCTTTTTATTACTTTGTGCTGCCTTTCATACATTGACCCCTTTTCTTCTATTGGAGGATATGTTGCATTCCATGTTATATTGATGTTTCAATTGAATCTAGAAGTAATATGGTTTTTGTTCTTTCATTATCCCATGCCTATCATGTTTGGAATATCCTGTGGGCTCATGTCTTGGCGTCTTGGGAAGGGGATGGGAATGTGAATGTGAATGATTTCAGCTAGTATAACATTTGGAGTTCTCAAGTTGTGAACTAAAACCATCAAATGTGTGTGCAAACTTGTAAAATTTTTTGTTGATTTCAGGAATCTCAGCCAGCAGAAGACATTGGAATGAGATTTGATATTGTTATTAACCAAAAGAGACCAAGGGATGATAGATCTCTCAACATTCACTTTAAGGAAAACAAAAAAACCAGAGACAAAGGATGTAACGGTACACCAGCTGCTCATTATGGAACCTTTCTTGGAGATGATAATTCACAGAAGGATTTAACAGATGATAACTCTTTGCAAAGTTCAAAAGGAGATCCAAATTCAGAATCCAATGATAAAGCTTCAGTAGAGACTCTAAAAGAAAGAGCCATAAGACGGTTGAAATTAGATATGGAAGAGAAAAGGTTTTGTTATATTCCACCAAGGGTCAAACTCAAGAGACTCGATTACCTTTACTATGTGAGGAAGAAGGATGAAGGTGCCTTTACATATGCTGCACATGCAGATTATTACATATTGCTTCGTGCTTGTGCAAGGGTTGCCCAGGTTGACATCCGAATTATGCATTTCGGAGTCTTGAGTTTTGAGAGGAGACTAGCTTGGCTGGAAAATAGAATCGATCACTGCTTGCATTTGTGCCCTCCTAGTGTTACTTGTGAGTTTTGTAGTGATGTAGTAGAAGCTACTGCAGAGGACCCCAATTGTAATATAGTAGATGTTCCAATTGAATTATCAACTTTGAATAAATGACATGAGTAAGTTATATTTATAATGAGCTTATATTTTATTATTGTTTTACTTGGACTCTTTTTCTTTCTTCAAAAGAATTAATTTGAGTGATGATAAGCATGAGACTTGCGAGGTATGTGAATCACTTAGATTGAGTTTGGATGCAGCTAGTGTGGGGGGATGTGTTTACTGATTTTTTCTTTTTTTTTTGGTACGAGATTTATGAATTAAGTTATGGTTCATTTTGAGTGATTTTATTTTTAAAAAATAAGTTGATAGGATTGTTGAGAATTAGTACAGCTGAATTGTGAGTAATTTTGAGATATTTGTGTTGAGTGGTCTTTTGATTATGATAGATCTCCGTGAGGCAACATATTGTTTAATTCATGATGATGGTGTATGCAAAGTCAATGTTTTAAAACCCGGTTCGACCAATTGAATCGGTTCAATCAAGACCTAGTGCATTTATTGGGTCGGGTTATTAATTTTACTATTTATAGAAAACCTTAGAAATTAATATGGTAATCGGTGAACAATTGAAGGCTGGGATATTGGAGGTTTTGAAGAGGAATTGCCGGTGAGTGCAAAAGTGGTGATAGAGGTGATTTTTGGTGAATAAATCAAACCAAAAATCGTAAAAATAAATCGGCGACAGTAGCGGGCTGTTGTAGATGATTAGCTAGTTGAATAGAGGAGAGGTAGAATGAGTTTTGATCAGGGGAGTGTTTTCATAGTGATCGAGGAGTGTTGTCATCATTGAAAATAGTCCTAATTTGCTCTAGATTGTTAACGCCAATGTTCTAAAACCCAACCCGGTCAGGCGACCGTCTGACCGGGTCTTGGGTTGAGCGATCAAATCGATTGAACTAATGGGTTAGACCAATGATGTCATCATGACATCACAACCTCAAAATAAAAAATTCAATAACATATGTCCGCTCTTTCCGTCTCAATTTCGCTGCTGCCTTGGTGCCTTTTTTTCTTTTTTGTCTAATAAACCAAAAACCTAAAGAACCAGAACTCAAAGGAACAGAGAGACATATCACTCTCCATTGCTGTGTCTAATGAAGTTCTTTTGAGTAATCTCTCTCTTTTTTCAACGCATGGACTGGAAGGGACACTTTCATTTGGAATTTGAATTCGATTGATCAAAATCCATAAAGAAACTCTGAGTCTTGAGGGATTCTGGATTCGGGGTCAATGATGGGTTTTTTATTTTATGATCTGGGTTTTGTTTGTTTGTTGATATTTTATTCTCGATTGAGTCTTTTTTTAATTTCCATTATTTTGCATTCACAAAAATGTTAGTTTCTGTTTTTAAAATGATCTTTATATTTTAATTGTGGTTTTTGATGTTTGTTTTACACTTGTGTGATTCTATTTGTTTTTTGGTGGATTTTGATTATTTATAGCTTTTTTTAATGTCTAGATAAACAAAAATGGTTGGATCAGAGGAGAACAACCAAGGAGTGGTTGGAGCAACAAACCTTCGAGGTACAACCTTAAATTTTGTTCTTTAATCTCTTATTGAATGTCTAGATTTAAAGAAAAGGTGGTTTTAGATTTTTGAATTTGACTGATAAATCATAACTTTAATAAGTAGGCTTTTGATTATGAATTAAAAGAGGGTTTACGCGCTGGCGGAGGAAAACTTATGGCAACAACCGGACACAATTGGCGAGCATTAACCAGTAACCAGAGGCCAACCCAGGATTTTTGCCTGGCCTCCGCGAATTCGCTTAAATAATTAGTAAAAACTTTAAGAAAATCACTAAACCTTAAGCAAATGAAATAATACAATATCAATAATCTAAAAGAAAATAATGCAATAACACAATACTTTACTACTTGAATAAATCTTTGAGAAGCAAAACCTTGAGTAAATTATGTTGAAAATAACATCCAATTCACGAAGAAACACAAGAAAATTTTTACGTGGAAAAACTTCTTCAATTAAAGAGAGTAAAAGACCACGGGAATCTAACGATCCACTTAAATCCAATATAATTAAAAGAGTTTACAACAATTACAATCCACAAAAAATGTTTTACACAAATTTCTTATTTCTCCTCTTTTTTTTTAATTCTTTTTTTTATTTTTGGTTTTCAAATATTATAATATAAATTTTTATGACTTTAATAAGGTTTAGCCTAAGTTAAAGTCAATCAAAACTTAAATTAAGTCAACGTTGTCTTGACTTTTAATATGAATTAATAAAAAATGGAAAATTTTCTTAGTATAAACATAAATGATAACTCAAACTTTTTTAATAATTTTGAGCAGTCAAACGGTGACGTTTGAAATGTAGAAAAGTGATAGGTAAATGGTGAAAAACAACATTTAGTCAAATATAGTTAAGGTTTAATTTGGGAAAGCATGAACATTTTTAAACACAAAACAAACTCACAAGATTCATGCCTTTTTCCATCAAATTAGAATAAAAAACCTTCAAAAAATAAGCATGATTTAACCATAAAATAAACTAAAATGAAATGAGCAATACACATACCTAAAACTAATAAAACAGAAAACGAAGCTAATTCTGACACCTTGATTAGTGAAAGCTTCAATAATTTCAATCTTTAAAAGTTTTAAGAACGAATAACATAGAGAAAATGAGAGAGAGAATGAGAGAGTAAAAAATTTTAGGGATAAAATCTTAAAAAACAGATAGACGTAGAAAAAAGTGAAGAGAGTTTTAAATTTTTAATATAATACATGCCTGAAAAAAAAAAAAAAAATATATATATATATATATATATAGTAAGTTTTTTATGAGTCTGGATATATAATATATATATATTTTTTTTTTAAATCTGAAGGTATGTGTGGATATATATATTAATAGATTTTTTTATGGTCTATATAAATAATTTTATTTTAAAATATGGCCTACCCTCCAAGGGGCTAGGTGCGCCACCTATCAGTAACCACAATTAATATCGGAATATAATGACTTAAGAAATTAGAGTCAAGGAAGATGAAGTACAACCTGATTGAAGAATGAAGATCCAATATTGGAGATGGTTTTTTTTTTTATTATTATTATTAACTGTTAAGTGACCTGTTTTACCCACTGGGTTGGTCGAACCGGCATTTAGTACTATTTCGTCGGTCTATTACTGGTTTGAAAGTGAGTTTTTGGCTATAACCGAGTTTTATTGTTGATCGGATCAGAGTCGACGTCGGTTCCTAGTCAGACAAGTCAGACTGATCACTGATCAGTCCGATTCAGGTTTCAAAATAGTGGACAATGCCGACGATGGTGTTTAGGGTTTTTTTTTTTTTTTTTTTTTTTTTTTTCTTGTTTGTTTAGGACTCTTTTGGGTATTTAAGTGTGATTGAGATTACTTTTTTGGGGGCCGAATTTTTGCAGAATTTCAAATATGCAAGGACTTATAGTAATATTTAAGGGTGTTTTTGTTAAATTTCAAATCTTTGGACACCAGTTTGACCTGCCGATCAAATTAGTTAAATCGATCAACCTTGGACTCAACCACTTGCCGCGTTTTACCTCGAGTTGGTTATTAAAACACTATGCAAAGTATGAAAATTTGGTTATTAAAACTAACATTGCAGCTTGTCATTGGTTAGCTCACAAATGGGTAGGCGAGACCCATACAAGCAGACAGAATTCATTTAGTGAGCTGTCTCGCCTACCCATTTGTGAGCTAACTAATGACAAGCTGTCACGTCATAGGTTGTGACTTGTGAGATTGACTTGTGAATCTGACATTACTCTTTACAACTTTTTATATAACTTTTTTATATAATCCTGATGTGGCAACTCGCGATTGATCAATTAACAGTGGATCTCATTTGCTCAAATACAAACTGATCAATCGCGAGCTACTACCTCAAGGTTGTATAAAAAAGTTGTAAGTGTAATTTATGAGCAATGTTTCACTTACATCACTCTTTTACACAATTTTCATTATATTATGATGTGGCGTATGACATAATCACACAAAATTTTAATTATTTTAAATTTTTAATATTATAATAAAATTTGTGTGATTGTAGCATATATCACATCATAATGTTTATAAAATAGTATAAAAAAATAGTATAAGTATAACATTACTCGTAATTTATTATTATGTAATATATCAATAATATTATCACATCATGATGTTTATAGAATGGTATAAAAAAATAATGTAAACACTCATAATTTATTATTACGTAATATATCAATAATATTATGTTTACATCAGTGCCCGATATCACTTTCTTACATCGTGACGTGCCAGTGGACGCTCGAGTAATTGGTAACAATGATTTAAGAGTGATGCTATGGGTACTAATGGATGGGTACTAATTTGTGTACTAACTAAAGCATAGTACCCGTACTATGCGCATAGTACGGGTACTATGCTTTAGTTAGTACACAAATTAGTACCCATCCATTAGTATCCAAAGTATTATTCATGATTTAAAACTTGGCCTGACTTAGACTAGTCAGACCGAGAACGAGTCGGGCCAGTTAGGGTGAAAAATCGAAAACATTATTTCACCCATTTTGACCCGTCGTTGGACCGGTGTTACTGTATCAAACCGCTGGCCCAACTGGTTTTCTGCCAAAACCGGGTTAACCCTTATTCCCGATTTCAAAAATCTAAATAGAGCTGCCTTTTACCATTTTCATTCGACAATCGAAGTATCGAACCCTAACCTACATTTTCTCTCTTCCACTGTCGCTTTCTTCGATCGACCACCGCCACCGGCAGCACTGCAGTCGCCGTCCGACGAGTTACCCGTCTCATTTCATCTTCACTTTATCGATAATCGAACCCTAAGTTTGTGATAGTACTTTTTACAGCATGCGTTCATCTTCTTCTTGCTGGCTGCATCTAAATTAGACGCCTTCTGTTGGGTTATTGTTCAAGCCTTTAGATAGATGTGCTACTGATTGTTGAAGTCCTGGAAATGTTCATAAATCGAAAATCTGGGAAGTTTGAGTTGTGTGAGTCTTAATGTAATGCTATTTTCAGAGTTGTAGAAGGAATAACATTTTGAGAAGAATGATGTTGTAAAATCCTGCTGCTTTTGTTTTCTCATCATTCTCA